CTGGCTCTGTGCAAAAGACCTGACGACGATGGCAGCCATATAGGCCTTCAGCATACAGCTTGCGCTCTTGCACGTAGAACGCTGACATTGCTAAGGAAGGCGATTGGAAAAGTACGGTAATAATTCAACTTCCTCGACATGTTAGAGCCTGCCCTCGCATGCCGCCTACTTCGACGGCGGCATAATGTACGTGGATGGACAAAGCAGAGATTCGACAGGCCAATCGTATCGCGTCCTTCCCACTCACCAAGCACCATCACCTCCTCGTGACTGAGTGATGCTCAAACAGAGGTTGGGGGGGAGGTGCGGCAGCGGGCTCACGCTCCACGAGCTCACTCTTCAGAACGCACAAAGGCTGGGTAGGGCTGACCTGGGAGAGCCTTGAAAGTACACCAAGGTTCCTCTGTTGTCCTAGTTCTCACTCCACCATCCCTCATCCAAAGTGCCTTGATACCGTCCTTGCAGGCACATTTTACAGGGGTGTACACCCGACTCTTGCGCAGGAGACCCCAACTCACCCCCAAGCGGTCGTTAGTACTGGAGGGTCCTGAACAAATATCGCCAGACTGCAGCAGCATACTGTTGGATGATACAACAACATATGTCCTCATTTCGAGCATTTAATACAAGAATTTGTGATTGAGATCAAAGCTTTGTTCCAAGCGTCAACATCCGCAGATATATAATTAAAGGTTTAGATAGCGTTGATTGGTGCTTCTATACCGCCCAGAGCACACTCGACTCGTTACTCCCTAGATGACTTCTCCAGACAGTAAAAACATGCCGTGATCGTTTGCCGAAAATCGATTGTCCGCTGATTTGTTCGTCTTGAGATCGAATCCCTCAAAGAAAGGCGAAGGTAACACGTGTATATTATGCCCTACTTAAAAATAACCACTTCTGTTCGGGTCGTATGATTATTTTATCTTGCGTTTTTCCATTTAGAACGAAAGATTGACGTATACTCGGTCTGTTTCAAAACTCGAAGAAAATGTTGCTAACGAGATGCTGGATCCGAGGTCGGCTATCGTATATACGGTTCAGTTCTGCCAATGATCTGCAAATATCGTAAATTAAGACGGTTGGGGCGTCATCTCAACCTACGGCTAAGTGAATACTCGTTGATGAACACTCGCTGATCGCTAAATGAACTCACTCGTCCCGTTCTATCTCGGGCTAACTCTCGACCCCCGCCAGCTGCCGCACAGCGGTAAACAGTGTGGGCTGAGGCATATTTGTATAAAGGGTCAAATGGGA